ACAAGTATGTATCGAAGAGGAAATGATCTTAATAGTCATAAAATCAATTTCCAGACTCTCTGAATCTATACATATCGTCTCTTCGTCTACAGAGATTGATCCAAATGTAAGACTAAAATCTCACAGAATGGATTCTTCCATGCCGCCGCAAGATCGTGTTCATGTCACGCGTGTGCCGATTTATGTTTCTCTGTCTGCACGCCAGTCTCCTCTTCTTCGCCAAATTTTGTAATTGCAGCAGGCTGCTGCGCTCCGTGCCCTCCTTGTCAGAGCAACAATTGCCAGACTAGCCTGGCGCTTACAACTTGATGCCACATGGTGCTCATGCAAAGACATGAATTTGTTTTTAGGCTCTCAAACGTGTCTGGAAGCTTCATTCTGTTTCTCATTTCAATATGGCTGAACCGATCGGGTTCGCCTCTGGAGTCCTCGCGTTAGCGACGTTTGATTTTCAGTGTAGCATCTTACTTTATGAAACAGTAGACGGTTTCCGTCCGTATCTGAAAAGTGTGCGTGACCTTTTCGCTGAGCTGGAATCCCTGAGTACCGCGCTGGCCCCCCTCGTTGACCTGGTCAAATCGAACTCTAGTGTTGATCTCTCGTGCCTTGAGTTGCGTCTATTGCGATGCGGTAATGTTTGCCAAGAGTTCCAACAAGAGGTTCTCAAATGTGCATCGCGATCAAATAGTAGCGGCACAAACTTCCGTGACTGGGCTAGGTTGAGGTACATAGGTAATATCCATTGACAATTTCGCGACTTTTTAGCTGGATATAAAGCTACAGTCAATATCGCCTTAACCGATGCAAACCTGTAAATCACCTTCAGCCACGACGGGGTTGTTTGCCCATTTGTGAACCACCACTTGCGGCAGTAGCTAATTCAAACTACCATAGTCTGTTAGCAAGAATAATGCTAGGACTTGTAGACCACTTGCGATTGCCAATCATCCGGATAGTAAGGACCATCAGTCGTATACAAGTCCCGATCCTGCTTAGTGGTTAGCATCATGATGTGGTCAAAGGAACAGCCGTTTAGACACACCACAGCAATCCGCTCATCCGCCATTTTTGCGATCAGCCGCTTGTATCGACTCAATAGGCAAGAAGATTTCCTTCCCTGTCTTTGGGAGCTACCAAGAAAGAGATGAGGGGAAATTCCCTGATGGAGATCACGTGGTGTCTTCCACACGAACTTTTGGCCCCTGACTAGCACACCCCGCGGTCACACATCGCGACAACAATTGGACGACTGTGAATAGGAACGGCTGCACCGGGGCCAATTGCGTGTCGCGCGGGCCACACGTTTGGAAAAGATTGAAGCAGCACTAAATGGGCTGAGCGGGTTCGACAAATCGTTAGAAGACTAGCGTAGCTAGGCGGATCAAGTGTCTCATCCTGCTGAGCCGTTGAGGTAATATGGCCTCTGTGTACTCCAGAGCGCTCGCGTCTACGACGACGCGTGTCTAGTAGCATACATAACAAGGCCTAGCCGTATTTGACTTTTTAGAAAAATACTTAATAAATGTAGAACAGGCCACGAGGTACCGTTTTAGCAGGGGAAATCCAGAGGGACTTATAATACCCATAATGGTCTCGGAGCACCCAGGGACACCACAGGGCAGGAGCGGTCACGGGCCCATACCAAGGCCTAAGTGTCGATTGTGCTGTGCTTTGTATTACGCACTCTTTGACCCTGGGCAACCCACCTATATCTTCCGCTTGCGAGACCTCGCCATCTTGTTTTCAAGAATCTTTTCCCATTGTCTCTCGTCTCGGAGACTTTTTAATTCCTGACAATGGGCACCCCTGATACTTATCTGCCTCCTGCCTTGAGCGTGGAGACTATCACCTCGTTGATCCTATCATTGGACCTCCCTGCGCCAAGCTCCATCGAGCCCCTGCAGGTCAAAGCCGCCTTTCATTCTATCTATCTCATCCATTTCGCTTCGGCACAAGGTATCACAGCACGAGGAAACAAGGATGGCACCGTTACGCTCGTGCTGCGCGTCTCTGGCCGGCAGCTACCCGGCATCAAGACACGCAACGAGGTGGGCATCATGACTTGGGTCGGTAAGCATACGTCTATTCCCGTACCGGCCATCATCCGGTTTGATGCGACGGAGAACAACGTGATCGGACATGAGTTCACCCTACTCGAGAAAGCGTCCGGCATCAGCGTCGATCAGATATATGCAACGCTATCCAACGAGGTCAAGAAGCAGATGGTCCACCAACTGACGGATTATCTGATCGAGCTGCATGCGCAACCCTGGCATGAGGGGTACGTGGGCGGGCTGACCCTGACACCGACGGGCGACATTACCTCCGGACCACCTATCGACGAAAACTTTTGGCAAACACCTGACCTGGACAAGTACTGGTCTGCCTCGGCCGGAGTCAAGAGTATGGAGACACTCGAAAGCCTCAATCCCATACCAGCCGACGGGTTCCCTAGCTACATGGCGTATACGAACAGCTGCCTCGAGAGGTATATTCACGCGATCGGGGTCCATCCCTCTCTGGAGCCCTACCGTGATTTGATTCCCCGGATCCGCGAGTTCATGGCGCAGCTGCGGCGGCCAGAGAACCAGGCAGAGCTCAACCGCGTCGCCTACATCATGGCACACAAAGATATGCATTTTGCCAACATCATGTGCGACCCGGACCAGCCAGGGTGTCCAATCACCGCGGTCCTAGACTGGGAGTTCAGCGGGGTGGTTCCCGGCCCGAGGTGGAACCCCCCGCGGGCATTCCTGTGGAACATGAAATGGGACCCTGACGATAAGGCAGAGCAGACCCGCATGGAGCAATTGTTTGAGCAAATCTGCCGAGAAAAGGGGGCAGAGCATATTTTGGAGCAGACCCAGCTGAATGCAAGGCAAGAGATGATGCAAACAGTGGTCAATCACATTCGAGCCATTGTCGAGGTGTGCCCGCGAGGCCAGACGCAGGACCGCGTGGCCCACTGGCGCTCGGTGGCGGAAGCCGCCATGGAGGGATTTTAGGCGTGACGTGTATGAGGAGAATTACATATCAATACATATTGTTTTTCATCTGTATATTTACTTGTTGTATTGTATTGTGTTGCATTGTACTGTATTACGGGTTTGAATAGCCCTAACCCACGCGAGGGGCGAAAGCCTTCTGATATAACTCCGTCTCCCTGAGTCCGATGATTAGACCCGTGCAATGGGCCGCCTATGGGCCGAAATTTTGCTACCCGCCTATAGGCTGGGTATCCATGGGTATTTGGCCCCTAAATCACATTAATTTTATGATTCTCTTAGTATATTTCTTAGTGGTATTTTTTAGTATTCTAAAATTATACTGTTAACTATAGCTAGACCTACCAAATAGGTGCGGGTATACCCGCGGCATGCCCATAGGCACAGTTTGTTGGTCTATCCCAAGGGATCTGGAGCTTTGGGGCTAGACTTCAGCACGACCTAATTTTGGGTCTAAATATTGGACCAGGACTAGACCTGTGCAATGGGCGGCCCATAGGTCGGAATCTCGCTACCCGCCTTTGGACGGGGTGCCTATGGGTTTTATGGGCATTCTAGAGATCAAATGTCGGGAAGTGACTCACCCTCCAGGTGACAAATTTTATACTTTGAAACATATATTACAGAGTAAGACAAGGGCTATAGGAAAGTATCCTTTATTTTCCGATTAGACGTATATTGATATAGATATCAGCGGTTAAAGATGGTCTACTTCGTTCTAAGGCGGCTCTTTAGTAGACCTACCATTTGCTAAATCTGGTATTTAATGACACTGCCTTGCCCAATCTGGAGTGAAGGGCTACAGCCAAATTGATTCAATTTAGCGGTGCCTTCATGCTGTCTATCTAAAGCTTAGAGAAAGGTAAGAAAAAGGGGTGACCCGCGGCGAGTAAATATCCAGGGGAATTGATAGATCACATCGCACAGGCCAAGCTTGGGCCATATATCGGGACCTGACCCCTTACAATACCCTCCTCCTCAGGTCGGACACGAAGGCGTCCAATTCGTGCCGTTCCATTGGGCGGGAGTGGTAGATTCGTGGCCGAAACGCTGCTGAATCGTTCCTCAAATTTATCTAGTGCGTTGTAATTTTCAACTGATGTCAACGGTTCCTATATGTACTCTGTATACCCAGCCTAGCAAACTAGAACCTCTTTTCTTGAGCCCTATCCGACCCTCTTCGTATATACAGCTAGAATTTTATTATTCTAATATTCTAGCTCTCTATTTATAACCAGCAAGAGTAGCTGCGAATTATCTATAAACTGTAATAAAAGCAGGTTCGTTGATACTAGACGAATTAATTCTATATAGAACACTAGGTAGATATCTGTAGGAATATTCAGCTTTATAGTATATAAAGTAGTGATCTTGTCACGGGATTCGGAGTATGCGATACCCCGGACTCTCGAGGCCGATCTATGGCCGAATCCCCTCTGAGTCGCTAGCGTATGCAATCCTGCCCTAGCCCTAGCAATATTAGAACGCACGACGATAGCTATGATTCTTGTTCTTCAAGAATCAGTCTGTGTATATCAACTGTCCAATCTGATCTCTACTGTCTGATATCCTTGCCTAGTCACAGGTCTCTAGCCTGACAACTTAGTAATCATTACAGAAACCATTATTGACTGTGCTCTACTCTCGCTTCCTATGCCTGCAGGATCGGATTAATATTATATAAATTTTAAAGTCTTGATTGAATTTAAAAAGCCCTGAAGCCTTTGCTATACAATAAAGCACTTCTGTGAGGATGCTCAGATACCCACAGAGATCAGCATACGGCGTAGCATACGCTGCAGGAAAGTAGTAGCGGTTCGACGAAAGTAAAAGCTTGAGGAGAATAAGAAGGAAGCTAAGATGGAAGGCTAGATACACAGGTGTAGGCGTGGATGCCTAGATGGGTGCCGTAGGCATGAGGCATCCACGAATGGTAACAAAACCAGTTCGTTGCAGCTTCTGATACAAGTTGTGACTGATATAGCTCCCTCAGCATCACCGAACATCAATAACAGGCTGAGTTGCACAATGGATAACCCCACCAGTTAGAGGGAGTGCATTGACATGGACCTGCTTGACAATTCGATCCGGATGCAGTTTCTGCATCGTCTCCAATGCCCTTCTATCCATCTCCTCATCGCCAAACTTTGGAAGGATCACTCCATCGTTGACATAATAAAAGTTCACGTAGTTTGTGGCAGGATCCTCTTCATATCCTACGCCCGAGGTCAGAACCAGTTTTGGATCTGGCTCATCGATCGTGTGAATTTCAAACTGGCGACCTCTCGCGTCTAGCTCACCACGTAGGGCATTCATGACCTGTTGATAGACCTCGTGCCATTTCCTTTGCGCACTCGCATGGGGCCGGGAGACGACTATCACTCCTGGCCTGACAAACTGGACCTCAGCATCGGCATGGACATCCGTGATATCCAGATCTTGGAAGCCAGAAAACCAGATAATTTTCTTCACGCCTAAAAGCCACCGCAATTCGTCTTCAATCTCGTCTTTTGAAATCCCCGGATTCCGCTTGTCGCCAATAATACTGCTCTCGCTCACGATAAGGGTGCCATCTCCGTCGTTTACAAGGGCTCCACCTTCAAGACATACCTTTGATGTGATACTAATCAAAGGTGATGAATCGCTGTCGGAGTCTGTCACTTGCTTTGCAAATGTGTGGTTCTCCTGGATCTGATCGGCTGTCATTGTAGGCCACCCTTGGCAACACCCTTCCTTCCCCATTCATTGAATCCGAAGTGGATGGCAACCCGCTGTTTCTCTGATCTTGTCGTGGTTCCCTGCACATAGACAGGCCCTGTATCACGCACCCAAAGATGGTTGGTTGCGAGTGGAATGATCTCAATGTCATAAGATCCTCGGGTTGTATTCGAGAGCATTGATTGCGCGAGTGAAACTTCTTCTGGTCTTGTATACAAGCGCACGGGCTCGAAATGGGAAACCGCCACTGCCAGCCTAATGATCTCACCACACGCCACATTGTGATAAGATGAAGGCAGCGAGCAAATGGATGGAAAGCCGAGAATTGTTGCAATATGTCGACCTGTCTCGGCGGGGTACTTCAGCCCCTTTATATTTTCATCGATAGTTCCAGAGCGGGTCGAATTGTGCAACATGGTGGCGGCAACGTAAAGATTCCCGAGGTCGAGTCTATTTAAGTGAATGACTGGGACAAAGTCACAGGGCAAGTTTTATTGAAAATTCATGTCGAGTTTATATATGTATAGATAAATTCATATAAGTGGTGCGGCCAGCTCGGGGTCCGCGGGTTCCGCGGGTTCCGTGGCCCCTTCAGTAGAATTAGATGCAGAACAGGATCAATCGCATGTACTTACCCTCTTTGCAGTTAAAGGTTTGGGGCGGGGCGAGAGTATAGTCAAAACGTCGATTTGAACCAAAGCCAAGGAAAGATTAACGTTCAGAAGATCACTCTCCCACATTATGAGCCTCTCAAAAAATATGGATTCTTCCGACCAACGAGTTACTGGGATGGATTGAATAGGAGTATATTTCCGAAACAAGATGCGCGATTGACCTTCCTCTTGATGCTTCAACTTCAAGTTTAGCTATCTGCTACAGTATGATCAACTCACCGGCGGCACAGCCAGCAGCCGCCCGGTAAATCACAACAATGACAGTTTGCACTAAAGCCGGACTCGTCCAACGAGCCCAAGGGGATTCCCGACTAGATAATGGACGAGATACGTTAATATACCACTTCTGACCGTCAATATGAACACTGTGGGCTTCACCACTAATGTAGCAAGTAAAGTCCTCTGTGGTTGGGACGCCTGTAGTATCCGTCACCACACCTTCGGCCCGCAGGTGAACAGTAGACCCATCGAATCTCTTATCTTTCGCAATAACCTTGATACCAGGCAGTTTCCTTTCTATCGCGCCCCTCGTATAATTAGGCTCAGTGTCGATGATCTTGCTTCTGACCATATCCGAATCGAGAGCTGGCACCAGCGGTGGCATCTGACGGTGCCGGGTGGCTGCCTCAAACGCGTACCCCAATTCTAGGAGACGGTTGTCATCGTAAGCTCTCCCAGCAAAGGTGATATTTACGGGCATCTTAGTGTCCTCCATGATGCCCATTGGAACCGATATGGTAGGAACACCAAGATGGCGGATGGCGAGGTTGCCATTGGAATACAAGACCCCATTCCGCCACGCGATCTGAGATGCTTCCCTGTCAATATCGGCATTCGATGGCCCTACATCACCATTTGCTGGGAAGACCAACGCATCCAACCCCAACCTTTCCATCCATTTTTCCAAGGTGCGTCTTCTTGCCTCCTCCAAAGACTTCAGGCCTTCTTCCATTCCGGGAAGCTGAAACATAGATGAAGGTTTGTTCTTCGGGTAGTTAACCAATCCTATCCAATCCAACTGGTTGTCTGCTTCCGATTCGCCTGGAAGTGACCCAGGTGGGAGAGGAAATATAGAACCAGAGTCAACACAGCTCAAAGAGTGGCAGTTGGCATGTGCATTTGTAGCCAGGAAATCGTCCCATGCGTGGGCGATAAGCTCATGCCTTTCCGTGCGAAGCCAATCCTTGGGCATGTTGTCAATCCTCGCCCATTGGTCCGTAGATTGATCGCAGTCTTCGTAGTGCGTAACGAGTGGGAAGTCAACCTCCACTACAACTGCGCCGCATGATTCTAATGCCTGTCTGGCCTGACTCCACAGTTTAAGCACGGAAGGCCTCGTGGATATAGGCACCGGACTCGCTCCTCCAATATACATAGAGGGCACACCGAGACGCTTTCCTTTCAGTCCATGTTCGTTCCTTAGCTCTTGGAATGATTGTGGTCGGATTTGGCTAATTGTCGGCAGTTGAATAAAAGGCTGCTGCCTCCAGAAATCGCCAAGGACATCATTCTCGACTCTTGCAAGAGTTTCAAGGACAAGTAGCATATCTCTCATTGTTCTCGTATAAGGGACGAGAACATCACACGTCGGGTAGAGCGGCCACACACCCGTCAAAGGAAGAAGGCCCCGCGAGGGCGTATAAGCAACAAGGGCATTGTTCGATGCCGGAGATCTTCCTGAGGAAACCGTCTCAGTACCTAAGCTGAAAGCTGCAAAGTTGGCAGCGATCGCAGTTGCAGACCCATTCGAAGAGCCTGATCCATAGCCAGCTGTCAGAAAATCTGAGTTATATGGGCTTTCTGCACGTCCATATACACCGCGCTGCATGCCACCATTTGCCATCGCTGGCATATTTGTTCTGCCCAGCACAATAGCTCCAGAGGACTTCAAAGCCTTTACACAAGCGGCATCTTCTGTGGCGATCAGATGCTCAAAGGCTGGAGCGCCGGCAGCGACGGTCATTCCTTGGACCTTAATGTTGTCCTTAACGAGAAACGGAATACCCTCAAGAGGTCTGGGCGGCAGGCCACTGGCTCTCCTTGCATCCGAAGTGGCGGCATCTTCCATTACAGATGAGTTGAGGATTGGGACGGCACTCAGTTTGGGGCCAGAAGAGTCATATACGCTGAGACGACGGAGATAGCGGGCAACCAACTCAACACTAGTCAAGCGCGCTTCAGAAAGTGCGTACAGGAGCTCATCGATGCTTGCATCCAGGATGGACCAATCTTGCTGTTGTTCTTGGGGCCCAGACTGAGATATTTGGTTAGCCAAACAGTCTGCAAGGATGTGGGATAGAGACTCACAATTTCCATTTTCAACTGCAATTTAATATTCAAGGCCAAGAGGCATGCAGACTTCGTGAACTTCGCTAAACTGCCACATGCTCTGTTGATAATAAATAGTTATGATCGGGAATACTACCCATGGCCACTCTGTTCAAGTTGGTTGGGCCCCGCTCCCTGGAGCCCGCGGGGGCCGACGGTTCCTTATCATGGATGGACTAGACACCTCCGCATCAACTTTCCTTGTCGATTCTAGTGGTACCGTTGAATTTAAGATTTCGCACATTTCCCCGCGTTTGAAGCCCACATCGTATCCTCCTTCTCCTTTGATACAGAGTGAAGTTGAAACCGGGCGCCGATCCACTTTTTAGGCTATGCGCGACTACTAGGCTATGCGCGACTACTACTATGCCGCGTCACATTCAAGTTTGCATTCGGCCCATTCCACTGCGAGGTGCCCCTATATATATCCCGTGGTCTTCAAGTCTTACACCGGGCATATTCTACTACTAGGCAATCACCTTCGCCCAGGAAGGAAATAACAAGACTAGTCCCAGGAACAGTCTTTCAACTGAATCCTCTTCTATAATTTCTCTGGAGTTGCTCGCCTAGAAAGAAATGAATTTTGAAAACATTGAGCTAGCTATCACAAAACATGTCGACCAAGATGCCTTGGACCTGGTTGCTTTGGGGCACGATCAGGCCTTTTCACGCAAATTCAACCTCTGGAGCCTGTTGGCTCTCGCCTTTTGCGTTCTAGGGTCTTGGGGAGCAATATCCAGCGATCTTGCGACCGGATTCAGCAGTGGGGGCCCTGTTATTATTCTGTGGGGTCTCGTGTTGGTGGCTCTTTGCAATCTCTGCGTGGTCCTTTCTTTAGGAGAACTCTGCAGCAGCATGCCATCGGCCCTAGGGCAGGCATATTATGTGTTTCGTCTTTGTAACAGCCCGACTGGGCGATTCCTCTCTCCTATATGTGCGCTTGGATCAATGTCTTTGGCTGGTGGACTGCGACTGCGACGCTGGTTGCTTTCAACACCAATTTCCTCTTGGGGATGAAACTGATGTTTGACCCGGAATGGAATGGTATTAGTCAAGGCTGGCTTAGCTTTGTCGTCTATCTGGGCTTGTCACTTATGGTGACCGTCGTTAATGTCGTCAGCTGCAGAAAAGACCCTGTGCTTCCGTGGTTGAATAATGTGATGGGAGTTGGATTCGCTGCTCTCTTTATTGTCTTCTCCCTCGCATTTTTGATCTCCGTCGCCACAAGCACTCACCTATCCTTCCGAACCCCAACTTTCGTGTTCGGGACATGGACGAACCAAACAGGATGGAATGACGCGGTCACCTGGTTTCTAGGCCTTTTGCAGTCTGCCTATGGCCTAACAGCATTCGACTCGGTGATTCATATGGCCGAGGAGATCCCCGATCCGCGTCGGAATGTTCCTAAAGCCATGTACCTCGCAATTCTCTCCGGGGCAGGAACAAGTTTTGCCTTTATGGTGATTTGTCTTTTCTGCCTTCCGGATGAGACGACCATCGCAGATCATCCATCTGGCCTACCGTTCATTGGGCTCGCTCAACAGATAGTGGGCCTGCAAGGAGCCTTTGCTCTTGTTGCATTGTTCACTATTATCTCTATTGGGCAAAATATCAGTGTTGCGACAACGGCATCCCGCATGACTTGGGGCTTTGCACGAGATGGTGGTTTTCCATGGAGCAGGTATTTCTCTCATGTGGACCCCACCTGGAAAGCTCCAGTGCGAGCGACATGGGCCCAGGGCTTTATCATTTCTCTAGTCGGAGTTTTATACCTCTTCTCTACTACCGTCCTCCAGGCAATCGTGAGCGTCAGTAGCATCGCATTAATGATCTCTTACGGCTTGCCAATTGCTACCCTCCTCATCATCGGGCGGGATAAACTAAATCCTGGACCATTTAGGCTGGGAAAATGGGGAACGGCGCTTAACTATGTCAGCGTTGTAACCTGCACTGTGGTCTCGATCTTTTTCTTTTTCCCAAGCACAC